TAAGTGAGTATAGAGACTGGAGGCAAGAGGCAAGAGGGCTGCCTGATAAATACATTTATTTTTGAAATCTTGGCTCCCGTGGGTGGCTTCACTAACATCGATTATTGCCAGTATTCCCATTTTCATTTTTCCTTCTTCTGAGTAAACCAGTTTCATGAATAACTGTTCTCCAGCCCTTTAAAAACGTTGACCAAGTCTCTATGATACTATTTTACATTTTTCAATATTGATTCTTGTTAGGCACATGATTGCCCGTACCATAAACTGTATTTGAACTAAACATGCTATGATGAATGCAGACAAGAATTTGGAAAAAGGAATTCCCTTTGCCTTGTTTCACATAATAGAATGTTATTGGTTATTACATATTGATGTCACCAACTTATTGTTCTATACACACTTGGAAAGCAAATGAATGTGTGTTTTTTTTCTAGATACACATGGAATCCTCAGGTTTCAAACTTTCAACTTCAAGAGTATGATTTAAATTTTTTTTTTTTTTTTTAATTAGTGGAGGTCATCTTTAGAGAGAGATTCTGTAGACCTCAAGTCAAGGTCACCAAGACAGTAGTTTGAGTTTGTTGAATATTTACTGGTTGTGTTTCCTTTTTAAAGTTAACCCACTTGATTTTCTTTCTTTCTTTTTTTTTTTTTTAGCACTTTTTCAAATCAATATTAACAAACTAATAATTGTGCCAAGACAGAATCTGAAGGGGAAGTAATACAATTAACCAGTCAAAGCTAAACTTATCTGGTGAGGTTGTTCTACCTTGAGTAGATCAGTGGGATTAATTGTGTATTTTTGAAAACTTGATTCAGTGTAGTCCTCACCTGAGGGACACCATTAATACAAATGGCAGGGGTAACTAGTACCATTATATTTAAAATGAACTGTTTTTACATACATAGTCATCAGATACATCTTGGTAAAATGTGGTTAGAGCTGTTATGGCAGCTTTCTCACTTCCTTCAAAAAGTGTGATATGTTCTCCATCTGTTATAAGAGCCCAAGCTAAATAGCTACACTTAGGATGTGTTCTTACTTAGGGCAGTACTTTTATGAAGGTGTGTCATAAAACCATCCAGGTGCCAGCAACCTGCCCAGCTGTTTCCCATTTAATCGGCTTGGAGGTGATAACATTTCAAATGTCACAATGTCTCTTAGAGCACCTAATAGCATTAAATTCTAAAATAACTGTGTGTTCTGTACTATACACACCCAGATGCCTTAGAATTAGCAAACTGAAGCAAACACAAAATCTTACCATTATGTATACTATAAAATGGTGTATCTGTTTAGAAAAAACAAATAAGCAAACTGATTTCACTTGTAAGCATGCAAAAAATTCAAGTCGGCTTTTCAGCTTCTGTTGGTCATTGATAAAGACTGATTGATCTCTTTGGGTTAATTTTAAAGAGCAAGGATTTACATGTTATTCCCTTTACTATTTTCAAAATCCTCCAGTCAGACTTATGGGCAGTAATCAGAGTGCTCCAGCACTGTCTAAATTAGTATATTTGGGATTAGTAACTAGCATACACAAAGAGCCATACTGATTACTGAATCACTTGAACTAGGAGAGAGGACAAAAACATTAGGTGACAAAATCAGAATCGACAAAATAACAGTCTGCAAGGATATTAATGTAATAAATAGGACATTTAATGTGAATAAATAAGAAACACCAAACTCCCAAATGCAGACTAGGGAGACTGTGAGCTCAGTGTTAGGCTAAAAAGTTACGGAGCTATCTATCTATCACTAGGCCAGTGTGATCTTAAAAGTGCATTAATATTCCATTCACTAGGGGAAGGCTCTATCTGCTCTGTGCCAGTCAGGGCATGCCTAGAATATTACATTTCTTTTGAGCCATAGCATTAACAAGAGATTGGGAACTGGAATGTATCCCCAGGATGGTGAAAGGGTCATGGAGCCCTGTTGTATGATGAACAATAAAAAAAAAAAACCTGGACATATCCAAGTTGAAAAAGACAAGATACTGAAAGGGTTCAGTAGCTATTTCCAAATTCCTGAAGCACTGTCATAGGAAAAATGGATGAGATCTGCACTGGGTAGCCCCAGTGGTGAGAGTTAAGACCAATAAATGGAAAATGTAGAAGGACATCATTTCAGCATAAGGAAGAACTTTTTTAGTCTCATATGAATAGTTAAGGGGTCGTTTCAAGAAATAATGTGTTCAGTAGTGGAAGTAGTAGAACTGAGGCCATTTGACTAAATGGCTGGGATTTTTGTAGTAGAAGTTTGGCCTCTGGATGGAAGTAAGTTGGAATAGGAAATATTTAAGGTCTACTCCGATCCCTGAAATTCTTTGAATACATGAATAATTATTGTCTTGGAAAGTGTATAATGCTAACTATCTTACCTCTTTGGGAAAAAGAAAAAGATAACACCATTAGGAATCTAATACATTTATTTGAGCATAATAAAATGACAACTTTTCACTCTGTGTTCTCTATTTGTAAGGATATAAATTTTTCTCTTAAAATGGTCTGTTACCCTCAGCATGAAATTTGAAATTACTTGGGGGGTACATTTTCAAACCTAAAGTTGAAAATAAGCAATTCTAAATGTAAGCAAATTTGTGTTAACCCTTTTTTTTTTTTTTTTTAAACCGGAGCCTAAAAACCTTGAGGGGTTTTTGTCCATAAGGCAGAGAAAACACAGCTGGCATTGTGGCAAGCATTCAGGACATCAGACGTTTGGTGGCACTGTTGAAAATGCAATTTGTTAGTTGATAAGGCACTTTAGTGAATAATATCCAGTCAGTTGATTGAACATTACAGTTTAAAAGATGTTTTCACATACTTTGGGTCAGAGTTCTGTTTTGAGTATCTGATGTTCTTATTAAAAGAACCAGCTTTTGGAATTGAGTGCATGAATGTGGACATCTTTGCTAGGAAACATGCTACTGGTCTATTAATTCGAGCGCTTGATGAAAGAATGTGTCTTTGTATACTAAAATTTAAAACACCATATGACAAGATAGCACCTGCCACCCCAAACCACAATGTGTCTCCATTATTAAACACCACTTGCTATGCTGCTGGAAGAAATTCAAGGATCAGAAAGCCCAGAAGAGAAGGTCTACGTTTTAGACATTTACTTACTGCTTTTCTGCTTGGAACAACATTACGTCTACAGCAAAAGCAATCACACAGGGGATAAAAGATCTCACTTTCTGAAAACACACTCCTTTCCCTCAAATGTGGTAATGTTAATGTTTATTTTCTCCAGACATCGACATCATAAATCTGCCTTGTCTAAGCCTTGTATTCCAGTATTACAAATACAAGTTGTTCACAAACAGACATCCGTGAAAGTCAGCAAAGCATGACTTAAAAGCTCATACATTTCCAGTACCTTCGACAGAGTTGGTTATGACCGCATAGTTAGGGTCACTTCCAGAGAAAACTGTTTCAGGGTCCCTATCGGAATCCCTCTTTCTAGCCTGAGAGAGGAAAAATGTGTGCTGCTCATCACAAAAGAGGCTGGATGAAAAAGATTGAAAAAACACCGCTCAAGTCGCCACTGATTGGTGGCGGACTCTTACCACATGGGAACAGAAAGGACACAGCACACAAACTACGTGGGCTTCAGGGGTAGCCTAGAGTAACCCCAAAACTTGTAGAATGTCCTGTAAGAAAGCAGATGCAACCCTGCTGTGAATGTACCTTTCACCCCAACATCAACAGTCAGCTTTGACGAACTCAGCCAATGGAACATGCATGTCTTAGCCACACCCAGGAAAGCAGGCAGTGGACTTAGATGGCCTGCAATGATTTAAGTAACATTTACCCAGTGATACTCATCTTTTTGGTGAAAACTAAGAATCTTTGCTTTTTTTTCTATGCAAGATACTGTTGGGGGTAAAGAAATTATATAAAATTTTCTCTTCCTACTTTGTGTACAGTTAAGGCTGGATGGAATGGGGAGGAGGTTGAAGGGAAACAGGTAAGCAGAGAACAAATAGGTCAACTTTGCTTCTCGCCACCTCTTCATTATTAATTCAACTACAGATGCTCTTTCCCTTCTCTCTGCTCCACAGACAGCCAGCACCATGAGCCAATGCTGCCCCCTCACCGCCTCCTGCTCCCATCAGGCCAACCAAGTGGATAAACCCAGGGAAACAGAAGGAAGATCTTTTAGGACAAGCTGTGTTCACTGTTTAGAAATAGCATTGAAATATGCAAATTGTGTTCTCAAGGAATAGAAGCAGAGATGGAAAGGTTCATTGTTTAAGTATTGCCCCGTAGCTAATCATAGTACTAAATATTTGGTATTGTTTCATCCTCTGAGCTTTGTCATATAGTTGTTCTCCTGTCTGCTCTCACTGGTCTTGGGTCAAAATACACCAAAACGTGCAAGGGCATCACCAGGCTTAGGCTTTAGTTCCTGTCCTTGCCTCAGACTTGTTTTGTAACATTTAACATATTGATAACCTGCTTAGTGCTTGTGTCTTGATCTCAAAGTGGAATTAACAGACCCACTCTTTAACCTTTCTCCAAGAATGTGGTAAGCCTCCATGTTTTTCTTTTAGGCTATTCCGTAAAACAAAGTGAAGAGAATTTTTTTTCCTATGGTAAGAATAGAAAACATTTTGGATGAGATCAGAGTGGTGCCATATTTGAGGCCCGTTTGCAGATAGACTGTGGAAAAGTGAGGTGAGAAGCTTAAAATCTGATGAAACTGAAGAGTGAGCTAAGGGAGGCTGATTTTGAGAAAAAGGACTAAACAGTCCAGAAACATCCAAATTTAGAATGATTATCCAGACACAGTTAAACTATCTATTATTGGTTAATAGGGTGGGAAAGAGAAGTAATCTAATTGAATAGTCTAAGAACCTCCCCTTTCAAGTATTAGGAGCAAATCCTCCCTGGTGATGGGCACAGTTATACCCCAAGATTCTGGGCTGGGCATAGCACCTGCAGACTGGCGCTCTGACCGAGTGTTTTTATCCTATGTTTCTGTTCCCTCACAGAGCTCTCAACATGGAGGCTCCTCTACTTCCCTGGCATCCACCAAAGTCTGCAGCTCAATGGACGAGAACGATGGGCCTGGAGAAGGTGGTGAGCTTGGGACTTGGTGTCTGAGGAGAAGGGTTTCAGGGGGCAGAGGATGAGTTGGCTGAATTTACTTCAGGAAACTGTAACTTCTCAAGGATTATGAAGTAGAAGCCTAAAGCAACTCAGAGGGATAGGATTGCATATGGTTTCCCCCAGGGATCATATCTACTCTGTGGGAACAGGAAGAAGGAATTATTTTACATCCTCGGAGGCCATAAGTATTCTAAGAAGGCCAGATATTGCCTACTTTGAAAAAAAAGGAAGTAATTGCTGCCTTTGTTTTCCCAAATTCTGTTCATTTTCAGTATATTAAAGATAATTTATTCTCTTGATTGACTGTTAACAGCCCTACAGAGGTACTCTAACTAATGTGAGCTCAATATGTGAAAATACGGCTTTACAAAAAGAATTACTTGATGACAATTGCAAAAATATTCTTTGTACCTTAAGCTAGTTCATTTTAGAATTTCTCTGTGATGTGGTCAGATGACCTAGATTCTGGAATGGACTTTTCTACTAACTCACTGGATTGTTTTGGTTTTATTTATTTATTTGGGAGGGGGTTTTAGGGGAAGAGGAAGAGAGAGAATCTTAAGCAGACTTCACCCCCAGCACGGAGCCTGACACAGGGTTCGATCTCAGGACCCTGAGATCATGACCTGAGCTAAAATCAAGAGTCAGATGCTTAACTGACTGAACCACCCAGGCACCCCTCCCTGGACTGTTTTGGATAAGCCTCTTCAGCATTCTACATCTTAGTTCCTCTTCTATAAAATTGTATAAGATTGGAATATATGCCTGTTTCCTCCCTGGGGGTCATTTTCAGACTCAAATCAATTATTTGAAAGTATTTAGAAAAGTGTACGACTTATAAGATCAAGCCATTGTTAAAGAATCAGCATCCCTTATTTGTTTGAAGTGATATGATTTGATTTTCCAAAAAAAGTACCTTTTATTATGTCAGGTGAGATAAGTGATTTGCACATGAATTATTTCCTGACTACCGTGCCCTATCAGATTTTTTTTTTTTTTTTGTATTTCCAAGAAGTATGAAATTCAACCACCTAGAAGTCTCTCTTGTTCTGCTGTGTTGTATTTACCTAATGAAATGAAATGGTCCTTGGCTAAGATTTTGGCACAGCCTTCTTAGCCAAAAGCCTAAAGGATACATTTTATCAATAGGAAAAAAAAAAATCCCAAGCCATGTGCTCCAAGCAGTTAGGCTCCCAGTAGAAGGAAGCATGAAGAACTACCTCTCTTTTCCCATCTGGAGTCAGCCTTGCTTCTGACAGCCGAGGATGGTTATTTTTATTATCTATGTAGTAAAGAGCCTTAAGACCGTGTCATCTGAGAGATGTTTTACAAATATGGGTGCTTTGCAGTGAATTTGAAACTTCTCCAACGTTCTCCTCTAATTCCCATGGAGTAGACAAAAATCCCCAGGCTGAGTCTTTCAAACAGAGGCAAAATTATTAGCTTCTTGGGGTGTGAGATGGTGGGGATTAGGGAGGGGGTGTTAATTGGCTGCAGCTCTCACGTTTTATTCCGGAGACCACTGTGATAGCTTCTAGTGGGTAAAGACTAAAACGCCACCTATGAAGAGGTAAGGAGACTACCTAGATCCCAAGGCCAAAAGTAGCAGCAGCAAATGTCCCACATTTGTACAACGCTTTCCAGAAATTTCATCCACCCTAGAATCCAGAGTGGTGCAGATCACAGAACCAGCGTAAGGGTCCTAAAGCAGATGTGTGATAATTGTGAGTTTCCATGTGTCATTCCTTAGTGTTGCAGGTTAATGGAGAAGACAGAAACCTAGGCACCACCTAAGGTTTTAATTTTATTTTGAGAAGAAATGTTTAGTCTCAGTTTATGATGAAAGGTCAGAATAGGAGCGCATTTAGAAAGCACACTAGGTTTCCATCACATTTTGTATTCAGGTTGCCTGAGGGAGCGCTAGGATTTATAACTTTAAAGCATGTAAATTTTAGAGCCCAGCTATAAAAGGCTTTTTACACCCCGAAGATGTTAAAGGTTATCCAGTATATTTATGTGACCTAAGTGTGGCTTATTTAGTTTTATGGCCTTAGATATTTAAAGCATTATTAGGCATTTGTAAAATATTTCAAAATGCATTTTAAGGGGGAAAATGTGTTGTGTTAGTGGCACTAACATAATTGAAACTACAAAACTGTTCTGTTCACAGACATAATAAATATTGCAATTTTAACTCAACATCTGCTATGCAGGTTGCTGGTGAGAACATTTGTCTAAAATCTGCTCATTGATACTGGGGAGTTGGGGGTGGGGGGACAATCAGGTCTTGGTTCATAAGGAATTTTACGGAGATCTCCATTTCAGGATGCAGTAAAACTAAGTGTCCAAACAGCAGGCAGGCTTCATGCTTGTACCATGTCAGGCAGAGTCCCCCATAAGCTCCATTTTTTCTCCTGAGCCATACCCAGGAAGGTCATTTCTCTATAGACAGTGGGTAGTCCATAAACACTATGGATCAAATTGGCACGAAACACAGAGCGAAATTTCCTCCTCGGAGTCCCCACGGCCACAGAAAGTGTTGTTTGCCTTCCCATCGGTTTAAGTGGACTCTATCAGTCTTAGGTTTCCTTTCAGTTTATCATTTGTCTTGGTAAAAACTGTTGAGTATACAACGTCTGCGGAGGGAGGGGAGGCAGGGCTTGTCTCACTGTATGGAACGTAACATATAGATTCTGAATCAGTTCCAGTCTATTCGATGATCCTTCTAAATGTCTCTCTGGTGCGACATCTGTGTTTCCTTTTCTACCAATAAAAATGTACTAATGATTCTTTCAGAAGTGTCGGAGGAAGGCTTCCAGATTCCAGCCACAATAACAGAACGATACAAAGTCGGAAGGACAATAGGGGATGGAAATTTTGCTGTTGTCAAAGAATGTGTAGAAAGGTGAGAAGGATATCGTTTGCATCGCACTTTAAAGGAAACATTTGGCATTATGTTTTCCAAGATTGTGTCTTTATTTGCCGTCTGTGGCACATATGGAATAGGTTAAGGTCTCAACTCCAGATGTTAAAAAAAAAAAGAAAAAAAATTTAAAGAAAGAAAAGCCCATCTCACAACAGATTTGAAAAATGTAGTGATTCCTGGGACAATCTATAAATTAAGGACTTTGATTTTTCCTTTTTAATGTACTCAGCAAAACTTTGCCAGATCTTTCACGTGAGCCCTTTTATTGTTTAAAAAAACACAAAACATATTGAACGTTTTTTTCCGATGCTTTTCTGAGACATTTTGTAGAGGTCAGAACATTCTTGCATAGAGTGGATTTTAACGTACTATCATCAAATTAAATATAATAACCTTGAAAAGCTTTAAAGTGCGTAGGTACTGATCTCAACAAAAATGGTGTTTAATATATTAAAATGTTTTCAGATGAATGAGCTTGGTACTCTTGGGGGCCAAAGGCAGGAGGTTTGGAGTAAAAGGTTTATCCCTGAGATCTAGACACCTAATCAAGGATAGTGACCGGTGGCTATTAGATGAAATGACAACTAATAAAATCATATCCCAGACTAAGGTGGCCTCAAACCATCAGCCCGGTGTTGAATTTGGAACTCTCTTCCTGAGCAGCTTCTTGCTCTAAGGGACCTGGTCGGCCCGCAGCTCCTGCTCAGAGCTGGTGAGCAGAGCATTGAAAAGTCAGGGATAACCCACTTCATTCCTTGAGGAAGGTTTCACTGCTGGCCTCTGGGGACTGGTTTCCCCATCACTCTTCTCTGCCCCCAGGAGGCTGGGCGCCCACCAGTCAGCACTGTAGGAGAATAATGCGCTTTCGCTCAGCTCTACCCTTCAGAGAGAATGCCTTGGACTAGAAGCTTTAACTGCGTAGGATCCAGAATTTGTTTTTCTCCAAGAGCTTTGATTTAGAAGCCCAGTTTCATGCCATGCTGGAGCTGGAAGTCTACACAGGGCCTCAGGCATCACCAGGGTCCTGAGTTTGGCCAGTGTCCACTGATTTGCTCCTCTGCCCCCTCTGCCATCCTTAGGAAGATGTCTCCCTGACTGAGGTTGCAGACCCCTTAGGAAGATACCCTTGGGCACTAAATTTCAAACTTGCTCCCCTGCAGCATGGCAGCTGGGCTGAGATAGTCCCACCGGGGACCAGCAATCCACTGTAGCAGCCCGTCTTGGAGGGACAGGCATGAGAAGAGGAGGGTCAAAAACCCCTTCGGAGTTACTGTGAGGCCACCTTTTCCCCTCGCTGCCCCTCAGTCACCCCACTGCCACCAGTTTGACCATTTGTGGCATCTCTGCCAAATACAGAAAGTTCTCCATTACTTTCCTAGGCCTCACACCTCCAAAAACAGAAACAACCACTACTTACTGAGCATCAACTATATACAAAGCCCATATGATATTTCATGTAATTGTCATAGTGATCCCATAATATCAATATTGTCTCCATTTTAAAGCAAAGAACCCCTTAAGAAGTTAAATGCCCAGAGTTGCTCAGTTAGTAAGTACTTAGGAAGGCCAGGGTCCAAAACCCACACTTTTGACCACTCTGTTGTCGCCAACGAAGAGTCTCTCAGGAGAATGTAGCTTCGCTGGTCTAGAGTCACGCACACTGCATTTGTGTCCATACAAAAAAGAAATTAAATCAGGAAAGCCACTGTTAAAGCAAAGGATGCAAGTGTGTGTGTGTTTATATAATTTTATATTTCATTTATACTTTTACAGATAGTAAGTCAACTCTTTTTAACTTTTTTTCCACTGTAGCAGAAAATCCCATTTTTAGCAGATTGCCATGCCCTTCCTATGTGGGGTGTCTGGTGATCTGCCAGCATGCGTCATCTGTTGAGACTGGTGTGGCAGCCACGTGCCGTCTCTCCCAGCTCGCACAGGGATCATGAGGGTGGCTTAGCCCAACAGTCACTGGTCTTCCCACAGTGAAAATGTCTCATGTCTCCATCCAGAATTAATGTCTTTCTTTCCAGTTTGAATTGTGTTTATTTTGCATGAGTTTGGCATCTTGGGTTTCATGGTACAAACCTCCCAAGTCTACACACCAGATTGCTCCACCGAGTTTTTGTATTCCGCTCCTGCTGAATGAGGACATGTGGCATGTAACCTCTCTCCCTGGAGGCATCATGAGACATTCTTTTAATATTTTCCAGAGGTCCAAGAAAATATGCAAGCTAAGCATGTTGTTAATGGCACACATTGCTCCTGGGTACGTACCACCATATTTTGAAGGATACATGTGTCTTAACGACCAAATAAACATGTCCCTCCTCTGTTAAGAAGCTGCCATCCCAGGGAAGGTCTTCCTACAACAAAGGACACAATGGTAATGTTGCGTAGGCTTTTTGTTCCATGGCCCCGTCCCAGCATATCCTTTGGTGGTGGCTGCTGGGTCCATTTCGATGTATGCCTCTTCCCCAGTAGCAATTTCTCTAGTGGCCTCAGGAGCCCCTAGGACATGGCAGAGGAAGTGGGTGAATGGAGACTTGCTCTATTCCAAAGCTGTTTTCTAGACTACTTGCGGCCCCAAAGAAAAAGAGAGTTGAAAAGCACTAGCGAGAGGTCATTGCATGAGTAGAGGGCTCCCAATGAGGGGCCCTTCGTCTTTGGCTTTCCTGGTTCTTCATGGATTATTAAGCCAAGGGTCCCAGCAGCGCAGTTAGGAGGAGTGACAGTGTCTCCTGTGGTTCTTGGCCCCCTCTCCACCTGCACTACTTTTCATCATTGCATCTTTTAGCAAAGTATGCAGCAGAATTGTATTAAAGTTCTACCTGCTCTTGATTCCCCTTTCCCTCCCTCCCCTATAAAACTGAAGATCTGCTCAAGGAAACCATTGGCTTAAGCAGTGAGTGTAGGTGGGCTCAAACCCATCCAAACATCCAAATGAGCTGAGACTTCAGGGCCACAAAACCGGGTTGCATCTACATAGTCTACAAAGTCTCCAGAATTCTCAAAACCCTCCAAAACCTTGTACCTGTAATTTGAAGACATTACCTTCTGAAGTGTGATTTGGAGGCTGAGTCAGGATGCAGCTGAGCTGGGTCTCAGCTAGCTGGCAGTGTTCTTCCTTCTTTCCTTCCTGAGGATGCCCTGGTGCCGGGCTTGTACTCAAATTCCAAATCAAACTCTACTCCAGAGATGTCCGAGGAGATAGTCTGGGAGCCCTCAATTCTCTGCTCTCCACAATGACCTCCTTAGGAAGAGGCTGAGATGGGCTTTATTATGAATGACTCTGTAGCAAACAAAAGGTGGTGTTTACTAACTCCCCTTTGTTGGGGGCTCCTAACTGCCATCATCCTCTGGCATCTCCACCACTCAGCCAACATGCTTGGAGCCCCTGCTAGTTCAGGCCTACCCTGGATTCATACAGGGCTACAGAGAGGGCCAAGACCCCAGTCCCTCTGCTTGAGAACCTAACCCATAATGGAAGCATTGCCGTGAAATTCATCAAATGCTATGATGGGAATGCCTGGGAAGCTGTTTTTCCTTTTCCACATAATTTTTTTAGTACCTTGAAAACCTAGCAAACCCCTCATAACAGCAATAGTAAAAAGCACACTAGTCCCAGAACCCCAATCGATAAGCATTCTGCTACCTGCCTTCCCAGGGTAAGGGAGCATATTGGCCCTGGGCTGAGAATCACTAAGTTTAAACAGGAGAGCTTTCCCCAAACCATTGTTGTTGTGTAGTGTTTTGTTTTGTTTTCCCAGCACAAACATTAAAAATTGGATTTAGTTCAACTTGGTAAAATTTGGAAATTTCTGTCTTAATAGTTCAGTCTCTAACCTTGGTTCAAAGGTAATAGGTAATTGAATTCCCATATAGGAGGGAAAGAAGCAAGCAAAGTTCGTCCCGCTGCTGCTGCCTTTGCCGTGCCATTCAAGGCTCTGTGATTTCATGCAGGGTCATTTCAGGAACAAACAAGCAAATGGCCTACAGTTTGACCAAAAATCCTAGTGTCTAGTATTCTCACCACAATAAGCTGTAGACTCGGTGGGAAAAAGGACCAGGTTTTGCTTACCTGTGTCTAAAATGCCCGAGTTTTTCTCACCTCTGTAGCCACCAAAGAACCATGCTCGTAACCACTTGCTGAATAATTACACCGGTACAGTGGTCCTTAGAGTTAGGGCATGCAGGAAGGCAAATACTTTAAGGTTTTATTTCATGCCAAGTGTTTTCATGTACCAACTTAAAGCAAGATATTAAACTTTCATTCTTATGGAATACATTTAGTACTAACACCTGTTTTCAGGCTTATTTTCCAGACTCAGCTGCTTTCCTATAAACATATACTTCCAATAATGAAGGCTTATATTATGACTTTATAGTCTGTCCTCAAGGAATCAAGAAAGAAAATTTACAGTATTAATTTTGGTGGTCCTCTACAGGACTCACTGTCTGATTAAAATATGGATCAGTCTAACTGAGTGGTGGATCCTATTATTTAAGGTTCTGGGTTCGGAACCCATAAAGTCCCTTTTCCTAGTAAATCCTGAGGCCGCTGCTGCCCAGCTTGCTTGCATTTTCCCTTCAGCCCGAGGCTCAGGACGTGACCTAGTTTGCCTGGTGTCCTGGGAGCCAAGGCACCCACTTGCTCCTTGGGAATTCTGCTCCTTGCCCATCTGGCTCACAGGGGGACTTGGCCTTCCCAGTCCCACGCCAGCCCTTTGCTTTGAGTCCTGTGATGTTACTTATTCCAGGGAAACAAGAGGATCAAATGGCAACATGGGGAATGACAAAACTAAGAAAGCCCCTTCTCTTTGCATCAACACCGTCCCATCATCTGTCCCCTTCGTTGGGGCCCAGAATAGAAGTGCCACCTCCACCCCAGCTCCTTGGTCCTGCCTGGGATCGCTGGCTTTGATCACAGTAGTCATTCCAATAGTCTAGTATTCTTGTCATCACCTGAAACGTTCTAAACCAGATGGGAAAGGGATCATGGATTTGAATCTCAGATTTGTTTTATTTATTTATTTATTTATTTATTTATTTATTTATTTATTTTTAGCGATGTGTGAAAAGCAGAATCCAGAAATTCTTCAGTGTTTAGTTTTCCTCTTGATTAAGGGTTTTCAGATTTGCAAACAAACTCTTGAGAAGCCTCTTCAGAAGAGACACTTAAAAGGACCCTGTATTCCTTCTCTGATGGGAAGGATCCCCTTGCGTGTGCCTGACTTCCCTCTCCCATCCATCCACACAGGGGCCTGGGAGTCTAGTGGGAGAAGTTTTAGCAAATGATGTGAATGGTGTCCAAAATGCCCTCAGGACACACTGCTAATACCTGCCCTCTTAATTTATGGGCAAATCACTCTTACTCTAAACACGTAACTAGGAAGTCTCCCCTTTGATTCTTCATACTGAAGATTTTAAAACCCTGTTTTAAACTTCCGTTTGTAATCAACCCCACTCCCACTATATTCATTTGGATCTCTGAAGTTGGCTTTTATCAACGGGTAAAAAGCTAAGCTGTTTTGGTTTCCCACCAGAAATGAAGTGGAAAGGCTTGTAAAATAGTTGTTTCTTAGGATTATTAAGTACACATCGTTCGACAATAGAGCTGTCCTTTTTGGCACTGCAGGATCTTGGAAATGTTAACACAAGTTAGGAAGCTATTTAAAGGTAGCTGTATGACTAACACTCCCTCCCACACCCATCACAGAGGAAGGGCAGTGTTGGCTGGGCTGTATATGAACAGAGTCCTCAAGAACTCAAAAGAGTCCTGTTTTATTTTGTTTTTAAGACTTATTTATTTATTTGAGAGAGAGAGAGAGAGAGCATGCAGGTGGGATGAGCAGAGGGAGAGGGAGAGAGAGGGATCCTGAGGCAGACTCCCCACTGAGCATGACGCCTGACACGAGGCTCCATCCCAGGACCCCGAGATCATGATCTGAGCCAAAATCAAGGGTCGGACGCTTGACTGACTGAGCAACCCAGGCTCCCCAGTAGTGGTGGTTTTATTACAAGTATGGTAACATTAAACAGCTCAGGATGGGACACCTGGGTGGCTCAGTCGGTTAAGCATCTGCCTTCAGCTCAGGTCGTGATCCCAGGGTCCTGGGATCGAGTCCTTGCATTGGGCTCCCAGTTCAGCAGGGAGCCTGTGTCTCCCTCTGCGCCTTCCCCTGCTCATGCTTGCTTTCTCTCTCTCTCTATGAAATAAATAAATGAAATCTTAAAAACAACAACAACAACAAAAAAACCCAACTCAGGATGTTTCTATGCCAGTATAGGTGTTGTCCTTACACTTGGTCAGCCCTTTAAGGTTTACATATTTCTCTGAAAAAAGGAAAGAGTCTTTTACAAAATATACCAGTTTGATACAAGGTCTAGGAGGTAAGAAATTAGTCCTTAACAAAATGACTCAACAGATTTGAAATTAAGTTTGTTTTTCACAAATAACTTTCTCGTTGCAGGTCAACGGCTAGGGAGTATGCTCTGAAAATCATCAAGAAAAGCAAATGTCGAGGCAAAGTATGTATAAGGCTTACTGTCGTGGAAATACAGTGTTGTGGGGTGGGAGGTAGAAACACAGAGATAGTTCCCAAATAAACATAAATTTACCCTAGGACTTGCATTTTGGTGGAATACAATGTTATATATTTAATGGAATATAACTTTATAAATATTCTTGGAATAAAAGTTAGGAGGAATGATTGCGTGTTATTTCTGTTCCTTATTGTTGGTTTGCTTGTTTTACTTTCTTAATTTACTTTTGTGATCTGAGTTTCATTCCATCCTTCTATATGCAGTTTTAGTTCTACTGATAGGTCGCAAGCATCCTCTGAGGACCACTTTTGGCAATTCTAGGCTGAGTATCAGAACCTCAGACATACTTACTGTATTCTACCCAAACATAGTTCCTTTGATCCTCAGATAACACAGCTGCACTCTCGGAGTTAGCTCCTCATGTGTTGTGATGTGTGTATTAATTAAGGTAACTTTTCACTTAAACAGGAGCACATGATCCAGAATGAGGTGTCTATTTTAAGAAGAGTGAAACATCCCAATATTGTTCTTCTGATTGAAGAGATGGATGTGCCAACGGAACTGTATCTTGTCATGGAGTTAGTAAAGGTATGTATCTTGGAAAAAGAATAAGCCCACACAAGGCACCGTGCTTTCCTATCTGATAGAGGGAGCTGTTTCCTTTGTTTCCTTCCACCAAAGTTTAGTCTCTCCTTTCTGTGTATGGCCTAACGATTAAGAGTATGAACACTAGAATGAGACTGCAAGCACTCAAGTCCCAGCCTAGACCATTATAGCTTTCTGACCTTGGGTATACTTCTCTGTACCTTAGTTTCCTCAAATGTAAAATGAGATGAATAATAGTACCTACCAGGAGTGTTATGGTGAAGATAAGATAAGAGGGATGACTTATACCATGTACTTTTTTTTTAAGGAAGGTGGAGAGGGGCAGAGAGAGGGGGAGAGGAAGAGAAGCTGACTTTCTGCTGAGCACAGCACCCAATGTGGGGCTTGATCTCATAGCCCTGAGATCATGACCTGAGCCAAAATCAAGAGTTGGATGCTTTATCTGACTGAGCCACCCAGGCGCCCCCACTAATGTACTTTCTAATGCAACAGAAGGTACTAGGTACCAATATGATCATTGTTTTTAATCATTGCTATAGAAATTGTGCCCTTTTTTTGTGAACTACATCCAAAGGTATCAATCATTCTTATTAAAAAAAAAAAAAGCTTTAAACTTTTACTCACCAATGTCAGAAAAATAGCACTAGAAAATACTCAGCTGCCTTTCAGTAGATGTTACAACCTTGTCCTGTCACATAAAATTATATCTGTATTTTATTAGATCATAGAATATAGATATATTGATAATGGCTATATCGACGTGAAAGGTGACTCACCTATTCCCTCTATTTTTATATTTAAAATTTTCAGTAACTAAAAGTTTTTACAAATTTAATATGTAGGATTCATGACGTGCTATTTTTCTCAAGCCTTTTTTCTATTATGTTAATCTAACTGAAGGTGTAACTAATTTCTACTTTAGTTGTAAAATGTCGTAAATTAGTCACACCACCCTCTGCATCAACTGTGTGCACCCGTCAGTGAGAGCCTCAGGCTCCAAACCGTGTTTGGAATCACGCGCCCCAGCTGGCGGCAGGAATCAGCTCTGGGGAATATGGCATTTCCTGCTGTAAAGACTTAAGACAAAATCAGCATGTAATAAACTAATCTGTTACTATACAGAAAAATGTTCATTCGAGGATCCTGTAAGCTTTTATTATTCAGAGTTGTTTTACTTTAGATCTGTTGGCCTTTTTTTTTTTTAAGGTGGTTATTCATATTTACAAATGAAGCTTACTTTTTTCCTACTTCGTGTTAGGATTTGTTTCTTTTGGAGGAGTGGGACTCGTTTATAATGACACAAAGGTATTGTCACCTTTGAGACCAAGGGAGATAAATATGGAAAACTGTTACTTCAACAAAGAAAGATTGATTTCAATTATTCAGAAGATTTTCATATTGGTGCCTTATGGCCAAATAAAGTTTGGTAATTACCAATATTGTAAAATACACTTTCTCTAGCACCCAGGATAATATTTTTTACAGTGAGTTTAATTTTGAGAGCAACTAATTCCCATCATTCCTGTTGCCTTTCTGTGTGCTGTTAAAAATTGATTAGTCTCCTTTTATTGGCTGATCTTTGAAGAGTGAAGACTAACTTAGATTTGAAATTGAGAAATGAAAGAGGCAAAGGCTTAAGAGTTCAGAACACATTGTGGTGGGAAAGCCTAGTCTGTCACTCATATGCGTAGCCAGGTGACAATAGCTAAGTTACCACTGGGAGGTCCTCGCTACACTCAACAGCCTTTTGCAAATTCCCTCCGGGTGACCAAGAGAGCCTAACAAGGCCAGAGAGTGTCCAGCTTCTGGACTCCTCCATTGTACCACCAGATCATACCCTCAAATGTGGCTGACCCAGAACTGCTTTGAGGCCAGGTCTGGAAGCACCCCAAGAAGTAAAGGCCAACCCCAGGCTTGACTTGAAAGGCTCCCACAGTGTTTGCCCCTGAGAAATGTAGCAGAGGTCTTGCTTCTCAATAGTCCAGTGGTGTCCACGGAGTACCTGCAGCTATAGGATAAACAAGGCCTGTATTCTGGAAAACAGTGAAGTAACAATAATTATGAATGAAATTCCGTAATTAATAAGAACAGGTCTCTGTATTGCCGCCTGCAAATGTGTGCACATGCACATTACATATGTATTCAGAGGAAGGCAGGCTTCGTGGAGGAGGCGGCCCTGCGGCCAGGCCCTCACCGATCAGCAGGGTCACGGGTCTAGCTAGTGGCAGGAGACGCAGTGAGACAGGTTGGCATGAAGGGGGGCACCGGGACACGGAGAGCCACGGGAAAGGAACGCACACTTCCTGAAGGGAGGAGCAAAAGGCCAACACAGCGCGTTGGCTGGATGCTGTGAATAAAGAGGCCGGAAGCAGCGTAGGTTCAGAGGCCACCTGAGAACCAGCGAGGGCGAGCGCAGCCCAACCGCTTAGGCAGCAGATGGGGCGGACTGGCTGTGTACGCGGTTGGCTGCGTCGTCGGGGATGCGGGAGACGTGCGGTGCCAGGATGCCTGCAGCCGCCCTCCACCGCTAGGACGGCTGCGGTGTCGTGGCGGGGTCACCACCCACAGCTGCACCCCCGCCCCACTGCGCTGCGGTGCTGTTCATGGCAGGGAAAATGCCACTTCCAGGCGAGGCCCGCAAACAACCTGGAAACCCGCCTCTGGCAACCTTGCCTTTGAGAGAAACAGCGGAGGACGCGTCCCTCGTGACTCACGTGTGTGTGTTCAGGCTGGGGACTGCGGAGGCCGAGCGGACCGCGCGAGACGCCTCCCGAGCGGAGGTGGTGCGGGGCCACGGAGGACAGGCCGGCTAGTGAGATCCGGAAGGCCTATATTTTGCTCTTGCTATTTAAAAAACAAAAATGAAACCCCTCACATTAGGCAACAGATGAACACAATTGGCTCCCGTGCTCAGCTGTTTGGCGCATTGTGTGCAGGAATGATGCAAACGTTGTTAGTAAATCGGACCCCAATTTCTGAAAGGGTTTCCAATAAAGAGAACTAAAATTGGAGCCTAAAATTGTTCTGTTTCTCCAAATAACAAGAAGTTAGCCAGGAACAAGGGAAACAAAAGTTCAGATGAATAATGGTCCTAGAAAACTTTGAAATTCCTCCACCCTCCTCCCTCCTCTCTTTTCTCTCTCATCTTTGGAATGACAGTTTCTGGTCCTTTTCTCTGCTCCTTACAAAGAAGCACATTATTGGAAAAGAAAACACTGCACCCACTCCAAGAGAGCGCAATTTAGGGAATGAAGGGAACTGAGTGTGTGTGTTTGTGTGTGTGTGTGCATGTGCGTGTGCGCGGGAACTTCATAAGGCAGCTGCACATTTTGTTAAGGGTGTGGTCTGCTGGATTACCTGTTTCTGTTTGGGGAGGCTTGGGGTTATGAACTTTTGCTCACCGTTGGTATGAGGCATGTCACACATGCCAGCAGGGCACCCCAGGGTCACCAGGCCTCTGCCCTGGAGACCTGGCTCCACCTCTCCTCCCCAGCTGGGGCCGAAGAGATGACTGCATGTCCGATGGCATCACAGCGGGGAGACAATCACCAGATGAAGGCTGTGGGCCTTCAAGGGGGAAGTGGCGGGGAGAGCCCTAGGAGCCCCGAGATGCTGCGCGCTTCTCTGTCTCCTTGAGAATGTGTCAGTTGCCTCTCCAGGCGGCCCCCCTGGACCATCTGCTAATTGCTGCTCCTCCTGCTGTTCTCTTCTCAGGGAGGAGACCTCTTTGACGCCATTACTTCAACCAACAAATACACGGAGCGAGACGCCAGCGGGATGCTCTACAACCTGGCCAGCGCCATCAAGTACCTGCATAGCCTGAACATCGTGCACCGGGACATCAAGCCAGAGAACCTCCTGGTAAGAGCGATTCGAACCTCACGCGTCTTGAGTCCCAAGCACTCATGAGTGAATATGAATTTTATTTTTCCTTTCCTATTTTCTTTTCTTTCTTTTTTGAAAAGAAATATACTTTAAAGGCTACTTTCCAGCTGGACTGGAGTAGCTGGAAATGAACCTCAAGTGTATCCATAAGGGTTAATGTGCTGTTAGGAGGACTTGACTAATTATTAGCAAATAAGAACCAGAGACAGGGTTGGGGGAATAGAGCTTGGGAAATCTAGGGCTATGGGTAACACCCTAGGCTAGACCAAGATAGTCAGGAGGAACATTTATGTGTAGGTTTATTTCTCTACAGTACTTTGATGTCCAAAGATTTTACTTGGGGGTGGGGTGGGGAGGAAGCTCTCAGTCTCCCAAATGTACTTTCCAACAGTATGATCTAAAAGCTAAGACAATAAGTCATGAGTTTTAAAGACACCCGCCTTTCAACATAAAAATAATCATGATGAAGACAGATTTTAAAAATCAGGGACACCCCTATCCCCCTTTATGACTATTTATTTTGCTTTTCATGAAATCCGTGTCTCTGGGGGAAACACTTAGAGTTCTTTACGCAAACAAATGGGGATGCTTTCGTAGTCCAGTTGTTAAGGGGACAGTACTGGAAAGAATTGAGGAGACAGGGACTGGGCATCGGGGAGCTGTCACTGGTGAATATGGGAGTCACATCAATTTTGCTGGCTATCCAGGCTGGAATTTTAATGAAATCTATTCATTTTCTTCCCCCACTCCACCCTGCCCCAAGATGCTAGTTTTCTTTTACTATCATTACCCAGGCCTGAGAGTCATGTATTATATATTACTGTTAGTTTGTCCATCTCTTCAGAAATCCAGGAATTGAGGATTCTCTTTCAAAGGCAGTATTTCTCCAAGGGTGGTCCAAAGACTCCCTGCATCTCAACTATTCCCAGATGCCTGTTAAAAATGCAAATTTCTGAGCCTCCCTGCAGCCCTAGCAAATCAGAATCTGGTGACTGGTGACAGGGTACAGATCTTCCTTGAAACAAGCTCCTCCACATGACCCAAATGAGCATTCAGGTCTAGAAGCAGATGAGCAAGCCAACTCCCCCACCACAAGAAGGGCTGATGAGGTCTGCTAAGATGGCGACCCACCCATGTGCTTGCCCTGAGTGCTTTTACACTCATGATCTCAATTAATCCTCACAACAATGGGGTAGGTTCTATTACCATCCCATTTTACAGGTAAGGAAACTGAGTGCCTACAAGTTAAAGACCTATGGCTACGTAAAGCCATTATAACTCATATGTGGAAGAACTAAGATTTCAACCTAGCTCTGTTCTACTTCAGAGCCCCAAATTTTAACCACTAGATGACATGAAGCTGTGCATTAGGGAGGTTTATTGTGGGCTGGCTCTGTGCCAGGTTGTGACAGGGAACAGAGAGACCGAGCCTTCATGGAGTGGACATTCAAGTAAGAAAAATAGGCATTCAGGAAATAAATACGCAAGCCTTTAGTTCGCTGTAATTATGTTCGTAAACTTGCAGCTACTGGCTAATGAAGGCAGTCGAGGTCAAGCGATGGAGCTCTGACTTAATTGCCCCTCAAATTCCACATCTCTGCAGTAGCCCAAACATTCTCTTCTGCATAGTTGCCTCCGTAACCTGCAGCAATTTTCTCTTGTCTGCATTCATTATTCCTGTGTCCTGAATTATGTAGGATTGTCTCGAGGGAACAGACTCACAATTGGCCTTTGTTTCAAAACTTCTCTAAACCCCCAAAATTCAGTGATTGAAAATTATTTGGTTTTGCATGACATCGTCCACTTATTTCTTACTGGAGCGTGGTCTGTTTCTGTAAATCCCATACATGATTACTTAGCAATGTAGTTTTTCTAAAATTACAATTTTTTTACAAAGTGCTGGACACTCTGAAAATATTGTGCTCATTCTAACATATTTTACTTTTTTAGATTATCCAGAAAGAAAAAAAGTTCACTCTTTTTTTTTCCTTTCTCTTCTAATGTGAGAATGTGAAACACACACACACTATTAAAGGCATTTACAATATTGGTTTAAAAAGTATATATAAACTAAAGTAATTCTGCTTCTCCAGTACAGTAATTTTTACTCTCAGGAAGTATTAAGAGTTGGTGAGCTTTGCAGGGATAAATCTATTATAGTATAAAATAGGTAGAAGAATAGAAGAACATGAACAGAATTAGGACGACATTACTAATTGAACTTGAGACTTCTGTTAATTTCACATTCTGTTGAACTTTATGTGGAAATAAGAGAGAATCGTCATGGGAAGCACATTCACATCCCAAGGATTTATAGTCAGATGGACCAAAGTTCAAAACCAAGTGCTTCACTCTTCCAGTGGCTGGTCTTATGACCTTGAACAAGTTTCTTAACTCCTTTGAGTCTCCTTTAGGGGGATTTTATGAAGATAAAGCGATAACAAGGAACTATTAGCTTCCCACCTTTTTATTCCCTTTTATTTGTAATAAAAATTAAATTATTCCTAAAAATAAAACTGTTTCACAACAAATTATGTTGTAAAAATCATCTTGCATCTTTGACATTGCTTTTAAAATTTTACTTTTCACCCATGCATGGATTTGACATCTCCTCACAAAATGTAGAGCTGGAGACTATTTTTGAAAAATGCTATGACAAATTTCATGTAAAGATTTCAAGTCCATTTTCTTACTACCAAATAAATGAATTTACCAAATAAATAAAAAGGCCTCACTACACACTTTGCATTACTCTTTTATTAAGACACCTCAAAAAAGCCTAAGTTGTTGGATTGCTAATAAGATTTTTGCCAGTTAAGTGTTGTTTGTTACAGCTAGCAAAGTATTATTTCTAAGTGTCTAATTCAGCTATAAATTCCATTTTATGTAGTATCATATTTGTAGAACTTCCAGAATTTTTTATTTTTAATTCTTATAGAACTATATAAAAATATTGTATCTGGCCTTAAGGATCTATATAGATCTATTGAAGTCTAAGTATTTGTCAGGTCAAGGTCTTTTAATGAGAAAACATGATTTATAGTGATGTCCAGCCACATTTGGTGCAAAAACTGGGAATTGACCCAATATAAATACCCGCTATAATTTTATTATTGTATCACTTATAAGTTTTTGTCTGGTTTGTTTTGTGTTTTTTTTTGTCACAAGTTATGCCAGTGACCTTACATGGTTCTTTCTGCTTTGTCAGGCCTGGAGCTTAATGATCATACGGATGAGTGGCCAGTGGGATGAGAGGGTGGGTGAGATGAAAGAGTGAGTGAATGAGTGACACTTCTCCACAGACTAGAGGACAGACCCATCATGACAAGGTCCAAGCTGTTCTTCAACTCATTCATTACACGGAGGGTTCACATGGGCCTTAGTCTAAATGCCACTGACTGGGGGAAGTGCAGTGTTTCCCCAGCTGTGCTTACACCCAGGACCCGTGTGTGTGTGTGTGTGTGTGTGTGTGTGTGTGTGTGTGTGTGTGTGTTGGTGGTGGTGGTGGTATATAACTAAAAGAGACTTTTTGTTTTTTAAAAAACAAAACCACCAAAACCGTCCTACTAAGATCAACCGCCTTCAGTTTGCAGCAGTCACCACTAGATGGCAAGCTTGCACCCTTGGCAGGAAAAATTCTCAGAAGCATCCTGAGTTTTCTCCTAAGGAGCTGGGAGGGTCTTTTAAAATGTATACGCAGGTGCCACCTCCTTAGGAAACTTAAAGTATTTACTGGCAAAAATATAACTTGCATCACTAGTTTTTATTAGATTCTAGAAATAAACAGTAATTTTCTTTTATATCAAAGTTTATGTTCAAAAAACTTTTTCCTTCTACACTCCCCAATACTCTCTGGGAGAAAACAGTTTCTCAGAGAATCTGCCTGTCTTGGTCAGAAATTTTCTTCTAGAAACTTTCTGTCCAGGTGTTTGTACCTGCTCCTGACTGCCCATCAAAATGGCATGCCTAGCACAAAACCCTCATTTTCACTAAATGGATTGTACATGGCAATAAGATATCGTGTTCTCTCCAAGTGATGACCGTGCATGACCTAGGGATGATGTGCTCCAGCTCCTCTTGGTTTCCAGATCAAGCCAGCCCCAAGCCCATGAGATGGCAGATTTCCTTCAGCCCTTAATCTCCAAATAAATCCATTTTGTGGCGAAGTAGCTAACTACACTAGTACACAAGGCAAGTGCCACAGATAGACTGCATCTAGAAGTCATAGGCAGAAGCACAGTTGAGTAGATCTATAGTCGGTCCACTTATGATCTTATGGTCTTATGATCTCGAGCCAGCAGAGTGTTGATTAATGGTTGGGGGACCTAGAAGAAGTGAGCCAAGGACCCTCAGGATTCTGTCACTGGCCCAACCCCAATCAGCATTAGTGATGTGAAATGAAGATGTATTATAGCAAATGACAGACTTGAGAACCAAAAGTATCTTTGGCTCTGTGATGGTCCAAAATCAGTAAGATGAAATTTGACAAGAGAGACATATAAACCCCAATGGACTAAGTGGTTTTGGTGTAGTTGTTTTAATGACCATTGTAGAAAAGCAGTAATGGAAAACTTGGCCAAACCATGTCAAAGGCTATTAGCTGAGCATAAGTTCAGGGTGAGCCTTAGTGGGATATAACTGCTAAAGAAGTACCCCTAGATTCCTTTCCCTGGAAGAGTGTTGCCACCAAGAGGGTCCTCTGCCTTGCTCACGCCAGTTACCACTATGCGGAGGAATGTGAGCACGTCATGTCAGAGGCCTGGAGTTTAGCCCGCAGAAGGGAAGGAGAAAATGGAGCATGGAGGCTCCGGTCAAATATATGAAACACTGCCAGATGGGAAATGGGAAACCTTTTCTGTGCTGTATTGAACTCCAACTAAAGAGAAGACATTCGTGGATGAGAGATTCGAGGTTGATGTTTAAGAAAAAACTTTCAAACAGTTGTACCTGTTTGCAAATTAAATGGCCTTTATTAT